CTCGTGCGCATCGGTCAGCGCGCGTACGTCAAATCATCTCGTGCGCATCGGTCAACGCGCGTACGTCAAACCAACTCGTGCGCGCCGGTCAACGCACGCACGTCAATCAGCCCGCGCGCATCGATCAGCACGCGTATGTTAACCAACGCGCGTTCGACGATCGGTCTCGCGACGAAGCATACAAGTCAACAAATCGAACGAATACGCAACAAGAACAAGTCCCGGAAGAAAGAAACAAAAAAAAAAGGGAGAACGTCGGCGAACCCGCGCTAAGCGCAGGACGGAATGATCCGACCCGCGCAAGCGCGGGACGGATCAATCCGACCCGCGCAAGCGCGGGTCGGATGATTCCGACCCGCGCATGCGCGGGTCGGATGTTTCCGACCCGCGCAAGCGCGGGTCGGATTATTCCGACCCGCGCGAGCGCGGGTCAGATTGTTCTGCCGCGCAGTCTAATGTCCCAAACACGTTTTGACGGTTTTTAATTGGTTTTTTTGCAGGGTTTATCGGTTCCAGGGGTTCTTAACTGACTTGAGATCATCCTCAAACGTGGTTAGGCTGCTGTTGACTAAAGATAGAGCCAAATCCCTTGTTCTTATCCAAATAACCGCATTTTGAGGCCTATAAATATGAACCAAAGGCCTCCATTTTCTGGATCTGGAATTTTATCAAGAGGACGAGGTGCTGCTGGATTGGAGAGTGAAGGAGCACGAAATTTCAGCAAAGGACAGCGAGATCCCGGTGAACTTCGGAGCAAAGGAGAAGCCGTTCGAAGGATCTGAAGCTCGTACGTCCGTTCCTTGAGATTAGGCTTTGTCTTAATCTCGAGAAGAGCCCTGAAATCGCTTTGTCGATTCCAGGACTTCAAGCAAATACCCCCTTGGTGAGGTAGAAGCTCTGCCCAATTTTTCTGCAACCGGATCTGATTCGAGGTCGTCCACGGATTAACCCCGGCACCGGCGAAGAACCCACGCAAGCAAGAGCCGATAAACGGATCTTGCGTTTATTTTCAAGAAAGTTGTAATCTTTTTCTTTTGTTATTTGAATTCATTTGTAACGTTTAAAGTTTAATGAAATCAATGACTAAGGTGACTTTCGACGAAAACAAACTGATCGGTCTCGCGACGAAGCATACAAGTCAACAAATCGAACGAATACGCAACAAGAACAAGTCCCGGAAGAAAGAAACCAAAAAAAAAGGGAGAAAGTCGGCGAACCCGCGCTAAGCGCAGGACGGAATGATCCGACCCGCGCAAGCGCGGGACGGATCAATCCGACCCGCGCAAGCGCGGGTCGGATCAATCCGACCCGCGCGAGCGCGGGTCGGATGCCGCGCAAGCGCGGGTCGGATTATTCCGACCCGCGCGAGCGCGGGTCAGATTGTTCTGCCGCGCAGTCTAATGTCCCAAACACGTTTTGACGGTTTTTAATTGGTTTTTTGCAGGGTTTATCGGTTCCAGGGGTTCTTAACTGACTTGAGATCATCCTCAAACGTGGTTAGGCTGCTTGACTGGAGCTTAACTGACTTGAGATCATCCTCAAACGTGGTTAGGCTGCTGTTGACTGAAGATAGAGCCAAATCCCTTATTCTTATCCAAATAACCGCATTTTGAGGCCTATAAATATGAACCAAAGGCCTCCATTTTCTGGGGTGATTGATTATCAAGACGAGGAGGTGCTGTCGGATTGTGGAGTCAAAGGAGCACGAATTTCAGCAAGGGTTGACAGATCTTGGCGAGTTCTTCGGCATAAAGAAGGAGAGTTCGAGAGATCCGACGCCCGTTCCCGTCCGTCCCTTGAGATTAGGCTTTGTCTTAATCTCGAGAAGAGCCCTGATTTTGCTTGGTCGATCTCAGCGCTTCAAATCAAATACTTCCTCGGCGAAGGCAAAGCTCTGCCGAATTTTCTATCAACCGGATCCAGATCCAAGGCGGTCCACGGATAAACCCCGGCACAGGCAAAGATCCCACGCAAGCAGAAGACCGATAAACGATCTCTCTGCATTTGTTTTGACGAGAGTTGTAAACTTTTGTTTTCATTGTGTAAAAGTCTTATAAAAAGACAATCTTTTTTTGTTTTCATTGTAACGATCGAAGTTGTAATGAATACCGCAATGAATACAACAATTTTCGACGCAAACAACAACCAATAGTAAGCCTGTGTAATGAATAACAACAAAATGTAAAGGAATCCGTCAAAAAGAAAGAATCCAATCTTATTTCAGCGTCGGAGCTCGATAAGGGAAAATGGTATGCTTCGAGCTCTGCCGGGGGCGCTATAACATTCATATATGTAACCTTCACAAAGTTCAAATTTTTAAGATAACTAACGACATTCAACACCAAAAAATCAAAAGAAGACTTCTTTGCAATCAAATACACCAAAGTTTCCCCTTTAAACTTGATAACCCCAAAGTATTCAAATTGACATTAACTTGACAATTTGATACCCAAAGCCCTAACTTTGTTCATGACTTTCACCAAACTCAAAAAACTAAAATTGGTTAAGAAAATCTGTTCCTCATTCACTTTTCTATGTTGACATTCTTGAACAAAATTTAACGCCGACTGTTTTTTTTGCACTTTGGGGGTATCAAACTGTCAAAATAGAAGGCCAAGTTATCAATGTTCAAAATGGTGACACTTTGGGATATTAAAGTGCAAATAACACAGAAAGCACCAAAATCAAAGAAATCACATACTTTCTCGAGGGTAACTGAGGCTACAGAATCATAAACCTCCTTTGATTTATCATCAGCTAGTCTCTTGATCTCGGATGCGGAGAGATTGATTCGCACATTTGTCCCCGCGAGCCCTAAATAAGCGGAAATTAAAACCAAATAAGAGAGGATATATTGTAAATCGAGGGCTAGGGCTCTTACATTTTTTCTTCTTGAGCTTTTCTCTGTGAGCGTTGATGGAAGATACGATGAGGTTAAAGGCGACGGCGGCGACGGCGTCGGCGCCGGTGTATAAGATGAGGTTTCACTTTTTCTTCTTCTTGCAATATGATCCATTGGAGAGAGTTCGGGTAGGCGGGAGGGTGAAAGGGGAAGAAAAGGAGGGGGGGTTAGGAGGGAGAGGGAGGAGACCGGGGAACGAACGGTAAGGGAGGGGATTGTGCTTTCAATAGAGAGGGTGTGCCGGGCAATTGTTAATCCCCATGACAACGACGAATGGGCGATGGATTTGTTGCGGTAGAGGAGGCGGAGCCTGTAATAAGATAGGAAGAGGCTTCGTTGGTTAAGATTTTGATGATTGTGATGAATTTCTTTCTAGTGGTAACTTGCTATGGGTTCCTCTTTCCATTCTATTGGGTATCAGATGGATAGATAGAAGAGAAAGATGAGATTAACGTTAGGGAGAGGAGGGAGGGAGTTCGTGGTTTTCTTTAGGTAGTGGCCTGTGGGTACGATTGTTGCGGATGCGGTTAGAAGAGAAGTGGACGTGAGCTTGGGTTACGGAAAAAAATCCAAATCCAAAATACATGGATAATGAAAAAGTTTACTGTTCATCATAGTTTAATTTGTTGTTGTTCTCCTTTAGTTTATAAGTAGTATATTGATAAATGCATGTGATTATTTGGTATAAGTCTATGCTTATTTTTCGTTGTCAATTGTTATGTCTTTTCATATAGTAGTAGGTTGAGATGCATATGTGGTTGATTAATTTCACGATTGGTTGGCATTTGGCATTTCTGTATAACATACTTGGTTATATGAACTTTGTTCATTTTTCTTTTTAAAACATATGCATCTGAAGTCAATATATTGGTATATGTTAGATATAAGCAATTTATTAAAACAATGCTCAATGTGTCTCTATGAGATTTTGTTTTAGCGCTAACAGCCCAAATTTGGGTCTCACCGTTCCAGAACCACGGGCTTAATAATTGTGGGGCTTACCAAGTCAACCGAAGTATAAAGTGTTGATCACATTGAAACGTGACCTGCTTATTTTCATTGCATGTATATATTTTAAAAATGTTGCATTATAATTTTTTACTATTTTAGTATTTTACTTATCAAGTCAATTTATTTTAGTTTTGCAAAACCAGTGTTCAATGTACGAATTTATCAACTTATTGAGTTGTGAACTCATTGTGTTGTTTTCATTCTTTTCAGAGACTCGGGATTAGGTGGAATTATTATTTTTTTTTTAAATTCTTAGAACGGAGCAAGGAATAAAATTCGGGATTGCTATTATCTTCTAGGTGAAAGTTAAATAAAGTCTTTAATGTTTAGTTGACGAATTGAGAGTTTTGTAATTATGAGAGTTCTTTCCTTTAGGTCAAATTTTATTTCAAGTTGAGGAATATTTGTTTATATCAAGTTAATTGGATTAATGTTGACTTCTGGGAATTATAGAGAATATTTATTGTTGGTTTTAGTTCAATGAAGAGATTATTTTGATGGTCTTTAATGAATATATGTTTTTGGAGGATTTTTCACAGGTTTAGTCCGGCTCCCATATTCCTTTTAGGTTCAGAAATTTGGGGTCGTGACAGTTACTTAGTTTACCCAGTCTTCTAATATTGATTGTGGACATATACTTCTGTGATGTTTGGAGATGTGCAAAGGATTCACATCGGTCAAGACGTCTCATATTTATAGAGAAGGTTACGTCCCAACGGATATCGCTGCAAATGATGTCGCAGGAAATGGAAGAATTTTGTTGTGCTCCAGCCTCATACTGAAATTTTATGTAGGGCGTCAGATGAGGATGCCCACGAGGTTGTGTATGTAAGAGACTAAGTGTCAATGTTTTATATATAACTGACAAAAAAATACGGGGTACTGATCAAATGATGAAAGATATAAACACAATAGAGGGATACTATCAAAAAAGAACTGTTTAAATAAAAAGAAGATCGTTAGAGTCTGAATTTATCAAAGAAATTTAAAATAGAGTTATCAGTTGTTAAACGTATATAGATCAGAGACCAAAGCAACTTCAACTAGCTGAACCTATCAACAACTGTGAAATACACCTAGCAAACAGGAACACGGATTAGGTGAAGTTCATATAGTTTTTTTATCTCTAATCATGTAGGCATCAGTATTTGTTCAGTAGCTAGATTCTAGCGTGAGGAGCTGGGAAGCTCACCGGTGTAGTTAGCAATCTGACCACAACCTAGCTTTATCAAGTAAGACAAAGTTTAATCTACTAGTGTGTGAGGACGACTTTAGCTAACTCCACGAGTCCACGTTGCAAGGAACGTCACGATGAAAAGATTTGTAGCCACCAAAGATTATTAGGCCCCGTTTGGTACGTGGGAATGAGGTGGAATGGAATGTCATTCTCACTTCTCATTCCCTCATACCAAACAAAACTTGTTTTTAGATGTTGGAATGACCATTCCCATGGAATGGTCATTCCCACTTTTTGTGGGAATGAACATTCCAAGTTAGAAGATAGGGAATGATCATTCCCATTCAAGGGGAGAATCAAATTAGTTAGGTTTTTTTTCAATTATACCCCTATTAATAATAAGAATCAATTTAAAAATCTTGGTTTTGGACTACGTATTCTCATTTTCTCTCAACTACTAATTATATTCGAACAATAGGAATTTTTTGCGGGGTAGGGATTAAAACTTATGGTACATATTTCAGTAGCATATTAAAACTAGCGGTACATATTTCATTAGCCTATTATATCACAATTGCTTAACATAGGAGCAACACAATTTAATATAAAAACAGATACAACTGAAACTATATATTATTTTCCGATTGAAATTCTTTCATGTCAATATTTTTTTGGTCAATCAAATTTTTTGTTTATTCACCAATGTTTAAAGTCTGTTATTTCACCAGCATATTATATTCTTTTTAAACTTTTGCTATTGTTTTCCCACCATAGAGAACTATATGTACTCATTGCGTACATGTTTTGATTGTGGTTCATGCACAACAATAAATCTAACTTTTGATTGAAAAATATTTGACCCATTATTTATGAAAAGAGGAAACTCTCGCTGAGAAATTGGCCAAAATATTAAAATTATCATAACCATATCATGTCTAGACTATATATAGAGGTATAAGGGCATTATTATAACACATACCTAGATTAATATAACATATGCAGAAATAGTGAGAATTGTTTAAAAAATATAAATGAAACATACACCTGATCGATAACATGCGCATTAGTATAACACATATCTAGATTAATATAATATATGCATAAATAAGTTTTTTTTAGTTATTATCATTAATGTTTCTTTTTATCTTATTAAAAATCTATGTTGTTATAAGAGCATTATTAGAAAATGAGATTCCATTCTCACTTGTGAACTAGTGATACCAAACATGGGAATGAGAATTAGATTTTTATTCTAGCTTCATTCTACAAACGCACCCAAACAAGAGAATGAGAATGACCATTCCATTCTTACATACATTCTATTCCATTCCTTCTTCCATTCCATTCTCACTTGACTTCATTCCCACGTACCAAACGAGGCGTGGGATGGCAAAATAAGCCCAAAACCAATTGTCCACCCATACTCACCCGCCAAATGAATCATCCAAACCCACTCATTTAGTTAAATGGATCATAAATGGGTGGGTATAGTTTCTATTAAAAATAAATGGGTCATTAATGGGCGGGTTATTACTCACACATTTGCCCGTTTAGATGGATATTGTTTTAAAAACATCCTCAACGCTTCAACAATTATAAAAATTATTTTTAAAAGTTAAATATTATAGAAAACACTTCAAATGACTAACAACCCCTTAAAATTTTGAGATTTGTAAAAAACACCCTCAAAGTTTAAAATATTATAAAACGTCCTCAATAGTTAAAAATTATAAAAAAACTATCAAAATTTTCTAACCTCACAGATGACACATGAAATTCAAAAATTACCAACAGCCCCCTGAAATTTTATAATTTGCAAAAAATACCCTTAAAAGTTGTAAAAAATGAGAAAAACACCCTCAAGACTTCAAAATTACCAAACAATCTTAGAGTTTTCTAAACTTGCAAATGACATATAAAATCTAAAAAAATTCAATAGTCCCCTATAAATTTAAAATTTGCAATTAACACCCTCAAAGTTTTAAATTTTTAGAAAAACACCCTCCATAGTTTAGAATTACAAAACCATCCTGAAATTTCAAAACCTACAAATGACACATGAAATCCAAAAATTACTAGCAGCCCCCTGTAAATTTATAATTTACAAAAAGCACCCTCAAAGTTTAAAAATTATAAAAAGGACCCTCAAGAGTTCAAAACTACAAAACAATCTTAGAATTTTCTAAACTTGCAAATGACACATGAAATCTAAAAAATTTCGGTAGTCCCCTATAAATATCAAATTTACAAGTAACACCCTCAAACTTTTAAAAATTACAAAAAACACCCTCAAGGATATATAAATATAAAAAGTAGACTTTTAAAAATTACAAAAAACACCCTCAAGGATATATAAATATAAAAAGTAGGCGCTCACAATTCTTCATCGGCAGGAGATATATGCGTGTGCGGCCAAGTGTAATTTGCAAAACTTGCGTCTATTTCGCGAGAAATAGGAGAGAAGGAGAGCGTGTATTGTTACCCGGCATGATAAAAAAATTCAAGGAGAATTACTTGGGGATTAAGAACAAACATGGAAAAAATAATAGACTTTAACCAACAACAAATATGAAGAAATGAATAATTACGCTCATAGCTCATGGATTTTGAACAAAGGAAAGAAAAACACCATCTCTCTCAAAGCAGTTCACTGGATTTTGAACAAAGGAAAGAAAAACACCATCTCTCTCAAAGCAGTTCACGCAAGGCTAAGGAGGTGCAGGATTTTTAAGATCCTCGGAGTGGGACGTGATATTTTTACCACATTTTGTTGACAAATTTAGACTTGGGGGCATGTTTTAGCATTCTCTCAAGGGAGGTGCTACAGGCACACCCTCAGGCACACTACTAACCACACCCCCTCTCTATCTACAGTGCAGGGGGCCTCACATCAGATTTTTTTTTAAAAATCTGATGTGGGGCCCCCTGGACTGTAGATAGAGAGGGGGTGTGGTTGGTGGTGTGTCTGAGGGTGTGCCTGTATCATTTTTTCTTCTCTCAAATTGGTATCAGGATACAAGACTAAAGAGTTGTGCTTATGATTTACTATTCGAGAAGGATTACGTTTAGGGGGGTTAGTCAAGTAGAACTCAAAATTAGAACCGGGATAATATTTTATAGTGTTACTATTGTGCGCAGCGAAAATTTTGGCAGCACTTCGGCAGCACAACAAGAGAGTAGATCTCAACTAAATCCCTATTTCACAAAGGAAATAAGAACCGAAAGTAAAATATCTCAACAAAGTGAGATATCAGTTCTTCCTCTCATTAGTTCTAGGACTGACCTGTCGAGGGAACCTATAAGCTATTACAAATCATGGTAAGA